AGCGAATTTGCTATGTTGAGGAGATGTAGCTATTTTATTAAAGCTATCCCAACTAGAGCTTTGTTGAGGAGATCTAGCAATTTTTTTAAAGCTATCTCATCTAGCTCTGAGTCGCTCATTCACATTCCCGTATGATCACTATAGATCAATTGAGGGGTTGAGGAGATGTAGCTATTTTTTTAAACCTATCTCAACTAGCGCTGAGTCGCTCATTCACATTCCCGTATGATCACTATAGATCAATTGAGAGGCTGCTCATTCACATTCCCGTATGATCACTATAGATCAATTGAGAGGCCATACATAACTATATTTTTTAAAGCTGTCTCAACTAGCGCTGAGTCGCGCATTCACATTCATTTAAAGCTATCTCAACTATCGCTGAGTCGCTCATTCACATTCCCTTAATAAAGCTATCTCAACTAGCGCTGAGTCGCTCGTTAACATTCTCCTGTCTCAACTAGCGCTGAGTCGCTCATTCACATTCCCGTATGATCAGAGCTATCTCAACTAGCGCAGAGTCGCTCTTTCACATTCTCGTATGATCACTGTAGATCAATTGAGAGGCCATACATAACTATATTTTTTAAAGCTGTCTCAACTAGCGCTGAGTCGCGCATTCACATTCATTTAAAGCTATCTCAACTATCGCTGAGTCGCTCATTCACATTCCCTTAATAAAGCTATCTCAACTAGCGCTGAGTCGCTCGTTAACATTCTCCTGTCTCAACTAGCGCTGAGTCGCTCATTCACATTCCCGTATGATCAGAGCTATCTCAACTAGCGCAGAGTCGCTCTTTCACATTCTCGTATGATCACTATGCTAGCGCTGAGTCGCGCATTCACATTCCCGTATGATCACTATAGATCATTGATGCTTTGTTGAGGAGATGTAGCTATTTTTTTAAACCTATCTCAACTAATGCTTTGTTGAGGAGATCTAGCAATTTTTTTAAAGCTATCTCATCTAGCTCTGAGTCGCTCATTCACATTCCCGTATGATCACTATAGATCAATTGAGGGAGCTATACATAACTATAGAAATTTGAGTTTGATGTATTCAAGCTCACCGTCTTCTCAGCTTTGCCCGGAAACATATCATCATTTATACACTGTTCGATCAAGCAGAATCTCTGGATAAAGAAAATCATATATTTTGTCGAGCGATTTTGCTTTGTTGAGGAGATATAGCTATTTTTTTAAAGCTATCTCAACTAGCGCTGAGTCGCCCATTCACATTCCCGTATGATCACTATAGATCAATTGAGAGGCTATACGTAAGGAAAAATGCATAATGATTTCATTGGATCCTATGACGGCTTGTAAATTTTAACCAAATCGTGTAAATTTTAACCGACTGTAAGTCATTGGACGAAATATTCGTTCATAACACATTTGAAATATTCAATCAGCCTTGAGGCTGATCAAGTGAACTATTATCATACGAATGCTTGCATCTTCAAACGGACCAATGTCATGTTCTAGCTAACAGGCGCATTCCCGGTTGGTTATATATGATAGCCATTTGAGGTGAAGCAACTTAAGCTCAAACTTATCCCAACTGAAGCACTGCGCTTATCAACAAACCCTTCCTCAAATGGATTTAAGCGGACAGTCTTTCCATTGAGCAACATTTAAGAAAATGCAGGCATTGCCGCTGGATCAGCCGTTACAACTCAGAAAAAACGTCGAGTTCTGTACCCGGTATTCAGTAAATTATCGTTCCACATTTTATTGGAGCACTTCCTCTGAAAGTTGCGCATGAGAAAGACAACCAAAACACAATCAAATATCTTGGGAAGTCATAAACGGTTTGCAATAAACTGCAGAGTTGTCGATACCGTTGAATTTGTAGCAGTTGAGTATGGAGATTTAGAACTTTAAGGATTTGTTGAGAACATTTGATCAGGATACAATTACACCAGTCTCGATGATATGATCAATAACGGTCCAAAATTGAAGTTTTTCATGCTTAAACAAGTATCCAGCGGTCGAATACTCATTAATGGTGAGTTGAATGCTCGAAACGAGAGAGACGCAATAAATGGTAATTCTCACGAAGCTATATGCAATTCACTTATTAGTATCCGTATTCTTATTGATGTTATTACGCTTATTATCGTATTACACTCTTATACCTTACGAGCATTTGCTTACGAAAGTTCCTTCTAGCCATTGTCATTGTCCAATTTATTGCCAATCTCGTATTAATGTCATAAATTTCAATTTTTGCCTTCACAGTTGATCAGAGTTGAATTTCTTGTGACTGAATGAACATTCAGCTCTGAACAGATATCTTCTGCTTGATCTCCATAGAAGACTCAAACTGTTTATATATTAAGTTGCCGAACGAAGGTCCTGAACATCTTATGAATATACCCTAGTTCAGTCATTGTCAGTTCGACCTTAACGCACTCGACTTTTCACTTCCATGCTGTTCTCGTTTCATAAGCGTGTCTCTTATGTTTTTGTAGAAAATGGCGTTCAATATAACATCACTATTGGATGACACCTCAAGAACAGAGCATTTCACAGAAACTCCAAATGAAATAGATGAGACAAACGATAAAGGCGTTGACGATGAATACCCTTCAAGTAAGTAGTGAAACATATCATTGTTTTTGTAGAGCTGCGCTCCAATTCATGAAATTTGTCACTGATTTCTCAGTGGTGGATTGCACTCAACATGATTAATCGAACTGAGTGAGTTTTGGCTTTACAAATAGTCTGCTAGATTGATTTTTTTCTGACTACTGAACTGATGATAAAAATTTTCTTTCCAAACAATAAAGGGGATTTTATGCCCTTTCAAGGACACGTAGAATATGCTCCACAATTACCGATCGCAGTTGACGGATCGAGCGTTCAGCAGTGTGCCTCACCTTCGCTTCTTCAACTTCAGATGCTATTCGGTTTTGCAGGTTGAATTTTCGATATTCGAACAATTACTGCTATCTTAAAACAGGAAGCCTAACATGTTGTTTTCAAGAACCACTGCAACGCTCATATAATTTTCCGTTGTCCACTAAAAATAAGCATACATGAATCGTTAAGTTGTTGATTGCAGCACGGAAACACGAGTACAAAAGAGCACGTAAGGCACCGAGTGATCGCAAGCCACGTCAAGCTTAAACAACGCAGCAATTGGAACAACTTGAGGCTGAATTTAAGGTGCCCTTATAAGATAGCACATTCGAAGGTTTCAGCAAGCCATCGGTGAACTGATCTGAGTGAAATGCCGTTAATTACTCGATACATGATTCGAAGTTGCATTCGATTTACGTTTTTGAAAGCGTTGAGTTTCATTCAGAATTCCGCAAATTTCAGCACGATAAATATTTGAGTGTTTCCAAGCGCATTGATCTATCGAAGAGTCTCAGACTTACGGAAACCCAAATAAAGACTTGGTTTCAAAACCGACGGTGAGTATCTGACTGAAGTATTGCTGACAGTTTTGATCAGGCAACATTACCTTCTGTTTATTGCTGAACATTTCGAAAACTAGTCTGGAAGAAATGTCTGTGAAAAATTTAGCAGATTACAGCTGAGCTGAAGAAAATTGCAAATTTACATGAGTGAATAGCAAAACAAAATTAGGTTGCTTTCAGCACGAAATGGAAGAAGCAGTTGACCGCATCGCTACGTGAACTGTGTAAAACCAGTGTGTATCCACTTCAAATCACCACCCCAAATCCAGTCGCCTCAGCAATCAATCCTGCTCTCTTCAGATCATCTACTTTATCGACCAATTTTTTTTTTGCTAACAGAACCTCAACGACCTTCCGTATGAGTAACGCGACAATTCAAAAAGCTAAGCCATGAACCGTTGCCACCAACTGATCCAAATAATATTCTGTAATGCTCACAATAAATATGACTACTTTGAGATTACGTGTGATCTTTCAAATATGCACCGCAACAATGTTCATTTCCTCGCGTAGATTCAACATCACTGAGGCAGCTTGACAGCCTAACTTTTCGTTTGCTTTTCGAGACGATCACATTCGAAAACTTGTTTGAAAATATTTACTTTCCTCAAAACTTCAAAGAAGATCGCAAAATCATTTTGCTTTCCTCAAAACCTCAAAGAACTTCGCACGTCAAAATATAGGAGGGACCCTGCTTCTCGGGTTTGCCAATCAACATGTGGATATTTTGGTACCGTTGAATCGAAAATCGACTTTCTAAGAATACAAATTGTGCCGAGGAAATATTTTTTTCATTGCATAATTATTAAAATTATTATGTCGTATAATAAATCATTAAAAATACCATCGCAAAACATTATCAACTTCGGTTGAATCACACGACATGTCAAACAGATTATTACAGTCACCACTAGTGATTTCAAAGGTAAGGGTTTTACACTAGGATATTTATTAAAAATTTATTATGACCACATCGAAAATAAATTTAAGATTTATCCAAACATCTACAATAATTTCAAATAAATACAATATTATAAAATTAAAAAATGTTCGTGACGGGCTGATAAAAATGCATTCGTTTTGCTTGAATTCCTAATTAATTCCAAATTAACAAAGATTGGCTGACGCTTAGATCGCATCACGAATGTAGGCCATATTCAATCTAACGGTACTCTCATGCTCGTCCGGCAACATATCTTCCTCTCTCCACTATCAGATTCTCCACATTCTCTAGTTTCAAAATAACATATATTTTGCCGAACAACAATGACCAGTTGAGGAGACATAGCAATTTTCTTAGATCTATTTCAATTAGCGCAGTCGCGCTCATTGTTCATCTACATTGATCACTATAGATCAATCAGTACGTTAATATAGCAATATACCGGTTGCCATAATCGAGCCAACTGTCTTCTCAGATTTACCCGAAAACATGTGAATTTCTTTTCATCAATCGATCCAGCAGAATCTCCAGAATCAGAATACTAGAAATTTTACTGAGCAATTTGGCTTAGTTGAGGAGATATAGGTATTTTATTGATGCTATCTCGGTTGGCACAGTCAAGCCTAGCGTCTTCTCAAGTTTGCCCAATAACGCCTGAATTTTCTTGCACCATTCCATCCAGCTGGATCTCTACATTCAGAAAAACATATATTTTGCCGAGCAAAAAACATATTTTCACTATAGAGCAATCAGTACGTTCATATAGCAATATACCGGTTGGCATCATCGAACCAACCGTCTTCTCAGGTTTGCCCGGAAACCCATAAATTTCATTTCACCATTCGATCCAGCGGAATATCTAAATTCAGAATATCATATATCTTATTGCGAAATTCGGCTCACTTGAGCAGATACAACCGTTTTCCTTATACTACCTCACGGCTATAGGGGTGCCATGTTCAAGCCTAGCGTCTTCTCAAGTTTGCCCACTAACGTATGAATTTTCTAGCATCGTTCGATCCAGCTGGATCTCTACATTCAGAAAAACATACATATTGAAGAGCGATTTTGCTTAGCTGAGGAGATATGGCAACCTTCCTAGATCTATTTCAATTAGCGCACTCGCACTCATCATTCATCTACATTGATCACTATAGAGCAATAAATACGTTAATATACTAATATACTGGAAGCCATCATCGAACCAACCGCCTTCTCAGGTTTGACCGGAAACATAGGAATTTCAATTTGCCATTCAATCCAGCGGAATCTCTACATTCAGAATAACATATATTCTGCTATCAAATTCGTCTTACTTGAGGAAATATAACTCTTTTCTCTACACTACCTCATGGCTATAGGGGTGCCATATTCAAGTTTGCCCGGAAACATAGTGATGTTTGTACATCATTCGACAGAACAAAATCTCTGCTGTCTGAAAATGGCAAACTCACCGGAAAATTTCGCCTATGCGAGGAGATATAGCTATTTTTCTCAAGCTGTAGGGGTTGGCACATAATACTGTACTTTCAGCGTTGACCAGTAACATATCAGTTTCTTCACACCAGTAGGTCGAGCAGAACCTCTGAATTCAGAAAAATATAGATTTTGGTGAGCGATTCTGCTTAGTTGAGGAGATATAGCTATTTAATTAAGGTTACC